TTTTTTTTTTTTCATTGTTTGACTGACCATCAGACTGCTAAAAACTAGGGAGCTCCATGATTCTGCGTTGCGACCAATGCAAAGGTCGAATGTGGTACCACAAAGAGTGGAAAACCGCCAGTATAGTCAAACATCGTTGTACACCAAGATGTTATGTAGTGCAACTTTAGGAAATTGCATTTTAAATAAAGTACTGCGTCTTCGGGACCCACAACTCCTGAGTAAAAATTTATGGAAAACATTTTCTCGCTGGCTTTCCTCTTCCTTTTTAACTTACTCAGCAAAAGACGCGCCAAAAATTTTGCAGCTTTTCGTGCCATCACTTCGTTTCGATCAAAGTAAAACGTCCGTATCATCTCTTCCATTATAAGTTAAGAATAATTTGATGAAAAAATTACTCCATTGCCTCACTCATGTTGAATACTGATAAACGGAATTGTGAATTTTAACTCGATCTTTATTCATTGGTATTTGTATCTGTATTTGGTTTGACTGAAAAGAAAGGAATAATAAACAAAGCGAAATCGAATACCATGAAAAGAACTGAAATAAACACTTACAAGCTTTGCTGGCTCGTGATAGAGAAATCCAAGAACAATTTGTGTTGATGACTAGCTTGTGAAACTAAGCGAGCACATGGCCCAGACCATAATACTTCGAACACTGTTACCGAGTCCCCGAGGACCAGGAGTGGGAAATAACCAAAAAATAATTGATACGTTTCGTAACTAACAGGAAGTATCGTTACGTTTTTTCACCTCTTCCAATGCGAGGTTATGGAACGAATGTTAAATAATACCCTTTAATAGCTTCAGTGCACAAGTATAATCATTTACTTGAAGACCTTTATTTTTACTTTCCTTGATGCAACGTCTCTTGTGTTCTCGCTTTCCGGAGTACTTCTCGTGATATTATCCCTTTAACCCTTTGAATACCAAACTTTCGCCAAAAAATACCGTTTTTAACCAAAAATGTGTGAAATCCTTCATCGAGCCAAATTTTGCTCGTTAGAGACTAAGAATGGTCAATTGGACCGATCTATGGCGAAAAAGAAAGTTTTAGAGAAAATTTGTGCTTTTCTTTAACCGTTTAGTCAGGTTTTTTTAGCTGCCATGACGCTAAATAAGCCTAAGTCTTGCTAAGAAAGCTATTTTTCACTAAAAGGAAAGATTTTTCGAGGGTTAGGTACAAAATTGAGAAAATTTCAATTCCGGGCATTTTTTTTTTTTTTTCGCCATTCACCATTCTCAATTTTGTTCGTTGCCCCTTTCCTTTCTGTTTTTCTCGGCCCTTTTACACTGGCTACCTTTTGCATTGTATGTTCTTTCTGGCTGCCGTGAAAAGTTGGATGTTAATTACGGGCGAAGCCTAGAAATGGACCTTGATCAGTGATAGGCGTAGTGGACCATTTTACCACCGTTTTTGAACCAAAACTGATAACGTTGTTTTTTGATTTGCGACATCGGAATGTCGTCGATATCTAAACCTGACCATTGTGCGGAAAGGGCTAGCCTAGTACTACCATTTGCTTATCGATAATATCAGGTGATATTTAAATTGATGACGTCAGAAGTGGTACAAAGAGCGCGACCATTAAGTGGCCGTATATGGCTACTTGGGCGTCAAAGGGTTAATTTCAACTGAATGAAACGTGATAAGAATAAGAGTAACAAGTGAGGTTAACGTAGTGAGTATAGATTTCTTCCAAGTTCATCGCCAGAAAAGTCCAATGGACATGCTTAGTTGTAGACTCTCACAGCCGTGTGCTCGGTTCGGTTTTGTTCACCGAATTTTCGCAACACTACAGCACGCTGAAAGCTCTCTAAAACGCCATTCAACCCACACTTTTACATCCGCGTTCACTGCAACGCAAACGGCGAACGGTTAGGGGCACGTGACCAGAGCAAGACGTCACGTTTTGAGGTTTTCTACTCGCGTTTTCAACGTCAAGAGGTAGCTAGGTTTTCATGTAAGTTAATAACCTCAGGCTTTATTGCCTTAAATTTTATTTTATTCCACGTAAAAACACTAAAATCGAAAAAAGTACCCTTTTTTTGTACAAATTGGTTATAATTTTTAGGCAAATAAGTAATTACCTAGCTAGCCTTTTGTTGTTGTTTATAGAAAGGCACTGATTCCAAGTGGAAATCCATATGGCAGCGGCTTAAGTGGATGTGTGTCAATTTATTATGTTATACTTCTTTACAAAGCTACGCATGCTAGAACACATACTATTTTTATATATATATATATTTTTCTTTTTTGGCGTAATTTTGACAATTTCCAATACATCGACAGGATGGTTTTTATTCGCTTCAATTTACTCCAATCTAAATCGACGCAAGTGCGAAACGGCGAACGGCAAAAGCCTAACTCCGACATATGGGGTAAGCGTAGATCTAAGATCTGTAATGATCGCATACCGATGTAAGGCTTCACCCAATTACTTGTTTTCAACCTGATCGTGGCCACAATATCGACAAGTTACTGACCAGACGTCCTTCAACCCGATAAAGACTAGAATGTAGCACTTTTCTTAATTTAGGGTCTATGTTTGGTTGAATTTTGGCGGACTATTGAGATAAGTTTAATTGGAGAATACGGTAACACGTATAACTTGACCTCTGCATCTGTCTGTTGATTCCAATGCGGAATATTTTTTTCTCATTCTGATATATAGTTCTACCCTTATTACGGGTTCTTTTATTGATCTATTCTACTTGCTTCGCTTCTCCGCCAGAAATTAACTATAGATCCGTTTTTTTTTTAGACAAAGGAGCATTTTTCTTTTCACGCGACGCCAAAACATATTACGCAACACTGACACAGTTATGCCGAAAAACAATCCAGTCGTATTGATGCGGTCCAGTCACAACAACAACAACAGCAATGTTTATTTGTACTCAAAACAAACAATCTCCGCGCTTTCCGATTCGACTTTTCTGGCGATGTGCTGTTTAGAATGGCGGTCGAATTTTACGTAGAACCGCCTAGTATGTAATTCTTGGGTACTTACCATTTACATGGGAAAACCGGAAATTCCTGTTGGAAAATCAAATGGTTCGCGCCATTCCGTGTGGGAAGCTTCAGAAAATATGGGCTGTGATTTGGGTT